TTTTTTTTTTTTTTCTTTTTTCACTCTCGATACTTTTTTTTCTTCCCCTTATCGCAAGCACTTTCTTCAACCTTTTTTCCTTTTCTTATTTTCTTATCGTTTAATTTGAACGTTCGTTACTATCACCTAGAAATTCTTTTCTAACGGATCACAAGTTCCGATTTTCCCTGTTAGTTTCAATGAGAAATCCCGTTTGCATTCTCGATAAAGTTTTCTTATATATTTTTTTGTTGTTTTTCTCTTCTTAACTTTTTTCTTTCTTTTTTTTTTCTTTATCAAAGAATCACCGGATTCAATAACGATTCACTTTTGCGAATAGCACAGAGATGAAGGGAAAAAAAAATTAAATTGTAGATAAAAGATAACGACGATCAAGATAAAGATGGAAACGAGACGTAGTCTCGTTTGAAAACCTTCCCCCTTTTTTTCTATTTATTTCTTTTTTTTTTTTTTTCTTTTTTAATATAATTTTTATTACACAATCCTTTTTATTATCGTTTCCTTCAAAATTTTCGCATAATCTTCTTCTATCCCCATCGATCGATGAATGAATTTTTTCAATGTTTTCTTTTATTTTTCTTTTATTTTATTTTCTATATTTTTTTTTTTTAAATATTTTTTCATTGTCAGAACGCGAGACGAACTCGCGCACGAAAATCAAACCGTAATTTTATTTTTATTAAATATATTTTCACATGGTTAACATATAAATTTAGTTTATCGTTTAACATTTGAATGTTTCATAAAATTATTATTGTTATTCGTAACATATATATATACACACACATACACTCATGTGCACGCGTACACGTATCAAATTCAAATTCACATTCACATTCACATTTTTTAATAATATATCAATTTTCCAAACTTTATATTACACACGAATTACTTTTAAATAAACGAAAGAGAGAGAGAGAGAGAGAGAGAGAGAGAGTAAGAAAACGGAAGAATGAGAAATCACGTTGAAAAGAAAAATCATGAAACTTGTGTGTTTTGGATAAACATTTTAAGCAAAGTTAAAATAACACGCGAATTTTATAAAAAAATACGTGAAATTGATTGAAAATTTTAATACACTTCAATGATTGATTGTTCCATCCCTTTTTTGTATTATATTCTTCGGTTGAACAATTTTTATTGCTTTTGATAAATTGAACAAAATAATTCGGATATAAAAATCACAGACAACTTTTGTTCTTTTGTTTTTGTTTTTTTTAACACACGAAACGATAGTTCATTATTATTATTATTATTGTTTTAATACAATGTCAATCCAATTTGTATATATATCAAACGTAATAATAATAATAATAATAATATACTTTTAACATTCGTTTGACTATCGAATGATTAAACTGAGTTTCATAGTTGCACTGTAATGCATCTCACTATTGCACCTAGTTTCATCTCTGTCACCTTCTATTTAAAGTGCAAAGGTGAATCTCACATACACAAACACGTTTTCAAACACACGTTTTCAGAACACACATATACTCATACATATATATATATATATGTGTATATATGATTGTGGTTGTATACACGTATTATTCACACAAAGTTGAAATAGACGGTAAAAACGACTGTGTGTGTGTGTGTGTGTCTGTGAATGTGTGTCCTTTGACCTTTCTTCTTCAGTATAGTTGAGAAATAAAAGTTCGTCCAAGAAGAAAACTGGTTCGCGTTGTGCACCTTTTTTTTCTCTATTATCGAAAAGTAAAAATAAGAAAGTGTGTAACGTGTTTTAAACAATTTTTTTTTTATACAGAAAAAAGGATTTGATTTTGTAAAAAGTATCGTTGATGCATCGAACGATAATCAAATCATTCGAACCAAAAAACAAAACAAAACAAAAGAAAAATTCGTTCACTAAGGATCAAATAAAAATTTTATATTATATAATATATGTGATATTATTATTATTATTGTTAAAAAAAAAAGAGAGACACGGATTAAGTTTCTTTCACTCTTTTCCTTTTATTCAATATTTCCGACGACTCCGAAGGACGTCCTTTTGAAATCATTTTTCTCCTGGTACCTTTTTATACATATGCATGTGACGATACGTATGTGTTCTTCATGTATATGTTATTTTCGTAGTATGTACTTTAAAGTACAAGATGATAAAAGATAATCTCAGAATCACGAGTACTACACATATTTTTTTGTTCACTTTCCCATTGAAATCATACTTATTCTCGTAATTCATCTTTTTTTTTTTCCTCTACCTGTCACGGTTTAGATATCATTTTTTTTTCTGTTCTTTGTTTTTTGCTTATCACACTTTTTTTATATCACACTTCTTCTCTTTTTTTCTTCTTGTTAATTAATCCACGATATATATATGTCAGCAAAATTATGTTTATTTAATATTCACTATTTTGTTTGTGAAATATAAGTCAAATTAATATTGCAATCTTATACAATGAAGATTAAAAATCAAAACGTTTGTTTCGTTGTAATTTAAAATTTTTTATTTCTCTCTCTCTCTCTCTCTCCTTCTCTCGTTCTTTGGGCTTTATATTTCTTTCTTTCTTTTTTTTTGTTTTAATTTAAATATTTTGAAGAAAAATAGAAAAAAAGAAATATTGCAGAAGTTTGTTTGAACGTTACACGTGTGTTGGTTGTTCGTACAGATTGAATAATCGAAGTAAAGGGTGGGAGGAAACAAGGAGGGGTGATTGTGATTTATGATTTTAATAATTAATACCAATTATCCTCTCGAAATGTTTCACCCTATTTTTGTTTAATTATTTCTCATATCCCCCCCCCCACTCCTCGATACGCACACGATCATATATTACCATACTATATTTGTTTTTCTTTTTTTTTTAAAAAAGTATAACAGGGCAAAGTAAGAAAGTCAAATGGTGTGAAAGGAGGGGAGGGGGGAGTGAAAAGAGGAAGTGATAATAATAATAATTAATAATTTGTAAAAAGAAAAGTATGAGTTATGGGAATAATTATTTTCACGATTATCAAAGATTTCGTTTGTTATGGGTTAATTTTTCTCGTCCCTCCCCCCTCACTGAGTTTTCAACACACTTTCCTTGATTATTTTATTTTTAATTTAATTTCTTTTCTCTTTGAGGGGTTTAATCGTTATTTTTCTTTTCCTCTTATGAGAAAGAGAAGAGACACACACACACAAATAAACACACAA